GGACGAACCTAGAGGATATTTCACCGAGTGAAATTAAAGCAAAATTCACTGCCATCCAGTCATTCCCTTCTCTCAGCCACCCGCTGTTGTTGTGACCCAGAGCACAACAGAGCACAGCAATGGTTCCTGTGTTACAGCCACTGTGTCAACTCATCTAAGGTGCAACCATCAGGTGGCAGGATAGAGCCAGGGGAAAAGACAATGATCTACAGCCGACCTTGGTGAGTAGTAACTGGGATCTTAAAAACTTGTTGGAGGCCATCTAAGGTGCAATCAACCATCAGATAGCAGGATAGGGCCAGGGGGTGTCCCTCTCCATGCCTGAAGGCCCCCTACAGGAGGTTGCTGCAGAGAATCAGGCAAGCCCACAGCCAGTCATAAAGACTACTGGGCATGTGCCAATTCAAGCCCAGGTGGACCGTACACCTGGACAGCCCAAACTAGGCCCAGATAGGCTTAATTCAGCAATGGGGTCAACCCAGACCTTTGACCCTGCCTTCCAGCCAGAAGCCTCACTTACCCTGACCTCGAGACCCCCAGCCCTTCTTCCCCTTCTTTGTCCCTCGCTCCTGTCCTGTACCATGCCATGGTCTCCCTGGCCTCAGGCTACCACGTGTGGCTATGCAGTCCCACAAGGCTGCCCACGGTATTCAGTGACTGCAAAACCTGAAACTTTTGTCCTTTACAAAACCCCTCTTGGATCAGAAACCAGGCTTTGGCGTGAATTTTCTCATTTGAAGGCAAGAACCGAGGTACTTCCCACCTGAGAAACCTAAGACGACTAAGGAGCCACTGTGGGTTAGACACTGGACTCCTACTACAAGTAGGTGGTTCAAACCCACCAGCCACTCTCTCCTTGGGAGAAATGAGGATGTGCTTTTTCCCACAAAAATTTAATTTCAGAAACCATCGCTATGAGCCACTATCAATCTGAAGACACTGATGGCAAAGGGTTTGGGAAGATGAAACTGGTCTCTCCCACTCTGGGGCAAGGATGAGTAAAGAAGATAAGAGATTCAAGGCAAAAAAAAAAAAAGATTCAAGGCAACACTTAGTTTAAAGAACTAATTGACCACACCAACACCAGCCTCCAGTATCTTTCTTTTTATATTGACATACAGTTTTCAAAACATTAAAAGAATAAATGTTTGACACATTCATAGACTTGCTTCTTTTTTTCTTTTTCTTTTTCAAGCACATTTGTACAATTATTGCCATCATCATTCTCAAAACATTTGCTTTCTTTCTACTTGAGCCCTTGGTATTAGCTCATCCCACCCCCCTAACCCCAACCCCTGTGAACCCTTGACAATTTATAAATTATTATTATTTTGTCATGTCTTATACTGTCCTACGTCTCTCTTCACCCAGTTTTCTGTTGTCCATCCCCCAGGGAGGGGGTTATATGTAGATCCTTGTGATAGGTTCCCCCTTTTTACCTCACCTTCCCTCTACCCTCCCAGTGTCGCCACTCTCACCACTGGTCCTGAGGGGTTTATCTGTCCTGGATTCCCTGTGTTTCCAGTTCTTATCTGTATCAGTGTCCATCCTCTGGTCTAGCTGGATTTATGGCACCCCATCAGACTCAACCAGAAAACACTCCTGAAGGTCAACAAACAGACCTTGAACTATTTACAGGATTTTCTTTTTTTGGTCATTGGTTTGTTGTTGTGGGGTTTTTTTCTTTTGTTGTTTTGCTTTGCGGTCTTGTTTTTGTGCACATTATTATCTCTGCAGGTCTATCTAGGTAAGATAGGCTGGATAAACAATCTGAAGGATAAAACAACCAGACCAATGGTTCTAGAGGAACATGGGAGAGAGTAAGGGGGTGGGGAAAGGAAGTGGTATTAAACGCAGGGACAAGGGAACAACAAGTGATCCAAATCGGTGGTAAGGAGGGTGTAAGAGGCCTGGTAGGGTTTGATCAAGGGCAATGTAACCGAGAGGAATTAGTGAAACCCAATTGAAGGCTGAGCATGATAGTGGGAAAAGAGGAAAGTAAAAGGAAATAGAGGAAAGAACTAGGAAGCAAAGGGCATTTATACAGGTCTAAATACAGGCATGTACATATGTAAATATATTTATATATGATGATGAGGAAGTAGACCTATGTGCATATATTTATAGGTTTAGTATTAAGGTAGCAGATGGTCATTGGGCCTCCACTTAAGTACTTCCTCAATGCAAGAACACTTTGTTCTATTAAAACTGGCATTCCATGATGCTCACCTTCCTGACGATTGTTGAAGACAAATGGGTACATAACCAAATGTGGTGAAGAAAGCTGATGGTGCCCAGCTATCAAAAGATATAGCATCTGGGGTCTTAAAGGCTTGAAGGTAAGCAAGCGGCCATCTAGCTGGGAAGCAACAAAGCCCACATGGAAGAAGCACACCAGCCTGTGTGATCAATAGGTGTCAAAGGGATCAGGTATCAGGCATCAAAGAACAAAAAAATTATATCATTGTGAATGAGGGGAAGTGCAGAGTGGGGACCCAAAGCCCATCTGTAGGCAACTTGACATCCCTTTACAGAAGGGTCTCGGGGAGGAGTTGAAGCCAGTCACGGTGCAGTGTAGCAACAAAGAAACATACAACTTTCCTTTAAGTTTTAAATGCTTCCTCACTCCACTATCATGATCCCAATTCTACCTTAAATGCTTCCTCCCCTCCACAATCTTGTATTCCATACTCTTGAACACCCAAGACCAACCGGCAGATTCATAGTACAAAGAAGAACTCCTCTTTAGAATTCCCAAGGCTGTAAATGTTTCTGGGAGCTGACAGACTATAACTCAGAATGGCTGGTGGGTTTGGACAGATGTTTTTGTTAGTAGCACAATGCTTAACTGAGTTCCGCACCAGAGCTTCTTTGAGATATGATGTAGTCAAAAGCAACTGAATCACTGAGTATGCATGATTGTAGTCATGTACCCTCCTTTCCTGGGGTACTTGCCACCTTTGGTGTTGGTGGCCCCCACTCTTTGAGCGCACTCTCAGTCTGTGTGTAAAGTTTCACCAATAATGATACGTCAATTGCTAGGGAATTCCTAGGGGTATCTTTCAGGGATCAAAAACAAAAGGCAAATAGAATTCATTGTTCCAGAGCCAAGATTTTCTGTACTAGTTTTTCTCTTCAAATTTTACTTGCTAATTTTATTTTTTCATGTATTTTACCTCCCTCAGACACACACATATGCACACACAGAAAACACTTGCTCTTTTAATCACTTTAAGTATACAATTCAATGATACTAATTATATTCCACCACTGTGCAGCTATTTCCAAGTTCTCCCTAAACAGAAACACAGTCACAGTACTTCTTAAATAAAAACTCACTTCCCTACCTCTCCCCACCCCTGATAATCACTCATAAAATTTGATCAATTCTAGATCCCTCATAAGTGGTATGATATGAGAACTTTAATTTGAAAGCATTTGGCTGCAATCTACAGTATAGAAAGCGAGAACCAATTCTGTAAGCTTTTTAACGTGCAATTATGTAGGTATCTCTTGGAGTCAAGTTCCCTTTCTATATCCCCACTTGCAAGCATGGGGCCTGCGGCCACTCTTAATCTCGTGATGACTTTGTCTTCTACAGCACAGAATGAAGCCACCCATGACTGTGATTCAGCGGATTCCATCAGCTCCCGAATCCCAGTGGCATAATGGGTTACACAATCTGCAGCTAAGTGCAAGGTCAGCCAACCCATGGGAAAAAGAGGTGGCTTTCTACTCCTGTAAAGTTAGTCTCTTAAACAATTTCTACTTTGTCCTAGAGTTGCTGTGAGTCTGAATTGCCTCAATGGGAGGGAGAGAGCAGTTCTCTTGTTAATTCTTTGGGATGCTCTATATATAACCTCACACCATCTGTGAATACAATTTTACTTCTTCCTTTCAAATTTGGATATCTTTTATTATTATGACTTTAACTTATTCCTCTAACTAGACTTCCAGTACATGTAGAACAGCAGTGGTGAAAATAGGGTTTGTGTTGGTCCTGATCTTATAGGAAATTCAGTCTTTCTCCATTGAGTACATTAGCTCTTAATTTTTCGTAAATGCTGTGTATCATGTTAAGAAATTTCCCATTTATTTCTAGTTTATTGGGTTTTCAAATAGATAAATTATTTAAAAAGCTATGGATTGTGTCAAATAATTTTTCAATATCAATTGAAATGATTGTGATTCTTTTTCTTTGTTCTATTAATGTGGTATGTTATATTGATTGATTCTCTTATACTGAAACATCCTTTATTTTGAGATAAATCACACATGGTGATGGTAAAGAATCTTTTGAATAGGGTGCTACATTTGATTTGCTAGTATTTTGTTGAGGATTTTTGTATTTATGTTCACAATGGATCCTGCTCTGTAATATTTTGTTCCTTGTGTCTCTATCTGGCTTTGGTATCAGGGTAATGCTGAACTAATAGAATGAGTAAGAAATGTTTCCTCTTTTCTATTTTTTGGTAGGACTGACATAAATTCTTTGAATGTTTCATATAATTCCACAGGAAGCCATCTGGTCCCAGGCTGTCCTTTGTTGGGAAGTTTTTGATTACTCATTCAGTTTCCTCAGTTGTTAATGATTTACTGAGACTTTTAAACATTCTATTGAGTCAATTTAGGTACTTTATGGCATTACGGGAATCTGTATATTTCATCTGAAACAGTCCTTGCAGTGTGCTGGGCTAAGTTGTACCGTTCATGGTAAGGCCAATAGTTCTGTTAGGTAGCTAGAAAAAGAGATAGGGTTGTTGCTCTTCATGCCTGGAGCCCCCACCCCCACCCCAAGGAGGTTGGAAGAAAACCAGGCAAAGCTCAGCCAGCCATAAAGGCTAAGGGGCACGCGCCATTTGAAGCCCAAGCCAGGTGGGTGGCACACCTGGGTGGGCCCAAACTAGGCCAGCTGGGCTTAATTCAGCCAGTGGGGTCAACCAATACCTTCGACCACACCTCCCAGCCCAAGGCGGGAAATACCAGGCCCTTGAGCCCACCAGGCCCTCTGTTTCTTCCCTGTCTTCCGCTTGGCTGTGCCTCGGTCTCTTGGCCTCAGGTTTCCACGTGCGTGTATGCAGTCCCAAGAGGTCGCCTGTCCCATGTTCAGTGACTAAAACCTGAAACTTCTTCCATCCTTTATAACAAGAACTCACTTGGATCACAAACTAGACTTCGGCGTGAATTCTTTCTCACGTGAAGACAAGAACCGAGTTATTTCCCATCTGAGAAACCTAACAGTTCAAGACCACCAGCTGCTCCGCAGGAGAAAAAGTAGATTTTCTGCTCCTGAAAAGATGTACAGACTGAAAAATCCACAGGGGAAGTTTTACTCTGTCCTAGAGGGTCACCGTCACAAGGAGTTTGGGTACATTTCATCTAGGTTATCTAATTTGTTGGTGTACAATGGCTCATCATATTCTTTTATAATCCTTTTTCGTTTTTTCTAGGATCAGGAGTAATGTTCCCACTTTCATTTCTGATTTTACTTATTTGTATTCTTTTTTCGTCAATCTAGTTAAGTGTTGTTGACTAATTTTTTATCAGCTAATCAAGTTCTGGTTTATTTTATTCTCTCTCCACTCTCTCTTTTCTTTCTGTGTTTCCTTATTTAAACACAGGTACAGGTGGCTGTTAAGTATAAAGGTTGTGCTGTCGCCCAAATGCCATGTTTACCAGATGATTGAATAAGACATAGCAAATCATATGAACACTTTTCAGATAAATTTCCCTTTAGGATAATTTTAAATTGTATTTCAATGGGTAATGTTTTATTGCTATCAACAGACTATACACTCCATGAAGGTGGGACACATTTTTTGTCTTAAAAGGAAACCAGAACCCAAACCTCAGTACATGTTTGCTGCTGCTGCTGAGCGAGCTTTGATGCTGGGGAGCTCCGCATGTGCAACAGACCCTAACGGGCCGGCTCCTGCCCCACGCTCCTGGTCTCTGATCGGCCTGAGTCACTGTGATGGCGATGGTTTCAGCCCATCTCACTGTTACTGCCCTCTAACTTCACCAGTATCATGCTCTTTCCTAGGAATTGGTCATTCCTGATGACATGTCCAAAGTAAGGAAAACCGTTTCATCACCCTCGATTCTAAGGAACATTAAGGTCTTATTGCTTCTAAAGCATATTTGTTTATAATTCTGGCAGTCTATGGCCTGTTCAGTATTACGCACTCACACATTTTGTACGTTGCACCTGCGTCATTTATTCTGGAGTAGCCTTGGTGGGTACATGTTGGGCTGGAGGTGCAAGGTCATCAGTTTAAAGCGACTAGCCACTCTGAGGGAGGAAGATGTCAACAGTCTCAGAATCTCACAGGGCACTTCTACCCTGAACACTAGGAGTCATGTGACATTGACTTCATGACATTGAATTTGGCTTAGTTTTGGTTTTATTAATTCAGGGAAAAATAAATGTGGCCACAAAAAAATTTTAAGACATGAAACGCTATCAAGAATGTCTGTTCAACGACTGACTTTATAAACCAAATCAAACCAAACTCACTGCCATATGGTCAATGCTGACTCATAGTGACCTCCTGGTGGGTTTCTAAGGCTATAATTGTTTATGGGAGATAAAGCCCAGTCTGTCTTTCTCAGAGCTGCTGTTGCTTTAGAACTGCCGAACATGCATCAGATCGCAGCCCAAAGCGTTAACCAATACCACCAGGTCTCCTTGACTTTATAAAAGTCCATAGAAAATAAACAATTTTACATATAAGTCATCTGAAGGTTAGCAGAGTCAAGGTCATACATTCCAAAGGCAACTATTTCCAGAGGAGTTACAGTAATAATAATGACAGAATTAGCTCTCCTGATGGTTCCTGCACATAGCTACTGCTATCAAATCCATTTCAACTGGTCGTGAGTCTATAGATACGATGGGGTATCCGAGGCTGTAAATCTCTTACCGAGCAGGTGGTCTCACTTCTCCTGAGGACCGGATGGATGGACCTGAATCCCAACCTTGCAATTAGCACTCCAACACAGTGCCACTGGGGCTCCTTGTTATTCTATCTAGTATGACATGATTGGGGTATATACATGCATTAATATGCAGCCATGTACCACTTAGCATCCACAGTACATTTTGTGAAATAGAAATGGTGATTTGGAAGCTGTGTGAGCACCATATAATAGTCAGGTCCTGCTTTTCTTCAATCCACTTCTTTGCCTCCTGCTGCTGTTCTCACTAGCACAGGTTTTGCTAAGTTTGGAAACCGTAACACATTTCACACTCATATTTCCTACAGAAAATCAAACAGAGAGATAATGCTGAACACGCGAGATGCTCCATACTGAAGACAGGATGCCACTGCCTAGCAGCTGAAGACCCTTAGGACAGTACAGTAGAGACATATATAAGCCAGTGACATTGGACTTTAGTGTGGGTATCAAGGCATGTATTATTGGTTACACACACACACACACACACACAGTATCATTATATGCCTGGCAACAAAATCGCTTTGTGTACAAGACACATGAAACACGTGTGTGCAGGAAGTTGTTGCATTCATTAGGTTACATTTTCCTACTGGGGTTCCAAACTCTAGAATATCCTCCTGGGCTCACAGAGGTAGATGTGGTTAAGATGATGCCCTAGTGGACATTATGTGGAGCACAACTTATGTACAGAAAGAATGGGAAAGAAAAGAGCATGAAGATATGCAAGCAGTTTGGAGACAGAAGATATGAACCCAAGGTGACTTTTTATGTAACTTAGCAATTACCAAACAAGTTACAAAATGTAAACAACTCTTCCCAGATATTTTTGGAATAAACATACAAAAGCCCCCCTAACACCCCCCTCCCCCGCCAAGAACACACATACATACTCATTACCAGCATTAATCACAATTAGGCCAGTGGTCAATTTACATTGAATGAATATTAGCAAAATGAAGAGAATCTTTTAAAAATCTTTAATGTTAGTACCAAATTGAAATACTTTCTACCCTACCATTAATAACACTTTCAATGATGAAAGCTCTTGAAAGACAAGTTTTTTAATGTACTTAATTTTAATTCAGTTACAGAGCTTGATGACACGTGGTGCTTGGCTACCACACAGTAGAGCAGGTAAGCGACAAGAACGAAAGAAAAAATGGCCTATCATGCAACTTATTCAATCACCTAAAAATGTCCCCCAAACTACACATGTAATAAGTAAAAGAACTTCAGGTCTCTGCTACTTCTCCAATTTTTTTTTTCCTTTGCAAAGGAAGTTGGGAGTTGACCTTGAGGTCATCCACCTGAGGTCATCGTAGTACTGCAGCCTGATTCACAGGGTTGTCTTGAATGCAGTCTTACAGGGGTTCCCTCAGGAGCGCACCAAAGGGAGGGCAACAGGTGTGCTTTTTCCTGCTTTAATCTTAAGGAAAGGCGATGCCAGTTTGCTCCTTAGCAGAGGCCCGAGACGGGCAGGCCCAAGTAAGTGGTCAGCAACCCATTGGTCCTGTCCACATTTATCTAGATGATACAATGTCTGTTAATTACAGACTGTGAAAAACATTTATGTGAATAACACTACCTCTTTAACTGTAATATTGCACCCAACCCACGCCCATTGAGTCCATTCTGACTCATAGCAACCCTGTCCCACTAAAAGCTAAAGTTGGGGGTGAGGGTGGGGGTACATTTCTCTTTACCTGGCACAGCTTTTTTTGCACCCTCCTCCAGACCTATTTGTCTATCCTGAACATTACCCTAAAACATACACGCACATACACACGCAAACCGCCTTTTGAATTTCACGAGGTGACAGAAACCACCATCATGTTGGGACTCTTGCAGCCCCCATTTGAACTTGGGTTTGTTTCCACCTGCGAGGTCATCTGTGCTCCCAGGCATGGTCTGGGTATGGGGTAGGGGTCTGGG